TCAACATGGCCAGGTTGAAATGACCTTGGCTAACACTTGCTCTCTCTCTCTGCTGGGTGTTGTTCTGACAGCTTCAACGCTCTTACTTATCTCATTCTCTGTGACCACCCCCTGAACTGGCATAGTCAGTGTTCCCATTCTGCAGGTGGAAGGTGGAAGAGACTCATCCTCAGGAGAACAGGTGCCCTGGGAGCAGAGCCTGGGACAAGGACTGGTCAGAGGCAGTTTGCAGGTGTGGTGAGGGAAGGTGAGCAATGGGAAGACTTTGGGGTAAAGGGGGTCCGCTTTGTTAAATTTCTGAGTGGCTCCTGGAGGAATGAATGGTTCCTACAGTGGCCCCACAGGGGAGGCTGGGGTACTTCTCTCCCAGTCCTTGACCTGAGAGACAGTAACTCCCCGCACATCTGCACTGCACTGCAGCCAGGCTGGGTGGCCTCCCAGCCACAGGGAACACATGTGGTGTGCTGGAACTGGGAAAGTGTCAGCCACCTCTCTCCTCACATGTGTGGTCTCTCACAATGGGCTGAGATCAGAGAAGGTGCTGGGAACAGCAGAAGAAGCCATGGGCATCGCCTGGTATTAAGTGTATTCCTCACAGTCTGGAGGCTGAAAGTCTGAGTTGAGGGTGTCACCAGGCTCAGTTCCCTGGGGAAGGCCTCCTTCCTGGCCAGCAGATAGTGTCTGTCTGTCCTCACATGGTAGAGAGAGAGAGAGAGAGTATCCTTATCCTTCTAAAGACGCTAATCCTACCTTGGGCTCCACCCTCATGATCCCCTGTAACCTAATTACCCCCAAAGGCTCTGCCTCGAAACACTATCTCCCTGGAGGATAGGACCTCAGCATAGGAGTTTAGTGGGGTACACACATTTGGTCCCTGACAGGAACTTAGATCCAGGACCCTTAGAACTTTGAATGCTGTTTACCTTCCTTTCTCCCCACTGTCTTCTCTCGCTCTCTCAATTTCCCTGAAAGACATGAGTGAGGCAAATGTCTGTGTTGTAATCTTAACATGGATGTCATTGTATGTTGGAAGCACACAGGGGATTTTCTGGAATTAGCTCCTGTTCCCATTCCTTCCTCCCCATCTTTAGGTGAGGGCCTGGGTCTGTCTTGGGGTGGGGGGCGGGCAGGGCGATCACTCACAAAAGGCCAGGAAACTGAAGGTGCAAGTGTTGGGGGTGCACTGCACTGCTGCAGGGGTTACAGCCACCTGTGGTGGTGGCTCTGTCTTCACCCAGTCCTATCAGCTCTGGGAAGTGCTTGGCCCATTGTGAGGCTTGGGCCATTTCTCCACAGAAGCTGGGTCTTACCCAGGGTCATGCATACAACAGGCATTCAAACCGTGTTGGATGGAGGTAACAGAGCCTGACCCATATTTGCTGATGTTCTGGAGAAGGGGATCTCTGGAGGGCAGCCTGGGCGTGGGGAGACTGCACTTGCTGATCTTGCCCTTAGGTTCTCAGAACGAGGACCATAGGCAGGAGCCACGATGCACAGGAACCAACTCCCCATGAGGAAGAGTGTCCCCTTGCAGACAGGAAAGAGCATCAGGGACTTGCAGCTAGGAGGAGCTCCTCTAAGGAAGATGCCAGTTTATGGAAACCAGCACTCTCAGGGTCCACGCTCCAGACTGTCCAAGTCATTTAACAGTGGTCCACCTGGGCCTCTCCTGGCCCATGCTCCCCACCCCTGTCTTCTACTTCAACGTGAGAAGCCTTCCCATGCCTCACTCCTCGTTCATATTCCTGGCCATACTCTCGTCACTCACTCCAAAAACCTTGACAAAGAATGAAAATTTACATCCTCAACTGGATAGAACCCCCTGGGCAGCATATTTAACTCCTGGGCTGGGACAGGGGCTGTCAGGGAATCAGAGTTGCTTTTGTCAAGAGGGAACAGGGACAGAGGACATCAGCAGGGGACAGGAGCCTAGCATTTACTGTGAATCTCCTGTGTGCCAGGTTCTATGCCATGTACCTCATAGAACTTGTTATCCGCCAGCCCTCCTCTCTGCATTGTGAGTGCTTCAGGGAGGTGAGGAAACACATCCCAGATCTCCAGGGAGAGTAATGGGTGGTGTTTGATCTCTTTCCTCACACCTCAAAAGAACGATGGAAAGAACCTGGAGGACAGTGAGGCTGATGGAACAAATTCAGCTCCTATCTATCTATCTATCTATCTATCTATCATCTACCCATCCACTCATCTACTCTACTTGTAAATCACCTATTTATCATCTATCTATTCACCCATCTATCATCTATCCATCCTGTCATCTGTTTTTAAATCATCTATCCATTTATCTATCTTCTACTCATCCATCTATCAACCATCTATCTGTCTGTCTAGCTAGCTAGCAGTCATCTATCCATTCTTTGCTTTGATTTGCAATATCTACTCTGAGGAAGACCTCTCAGGTTCAGGGGTAGAAACTATCCAGACAGAAACATCAGAAGGTCCAAAACAATCACCTGAAACATCTCCCTAGAAGAGGTGGCTGGTCTGCTCAATAGCACTCCCCATTTCTGTTTCTCAGCCTTCTTCTCCTCTAGTTGAAACCATTCCATGTTTCTTGCCACACCAAGCATGAACAGCCATGAACAGCTCCACCACGCTCTGCACAGCTTGAAGAAGCAGCAGTCTCCATGGGCCACATGTGGACTTGGGTGATAGGTAAACCGCTTTTCTTTACTTTGACAGTGACTTAGTAAGTAAAAGCTGTCTGTCAGGCACTACTCTAGGTGCTGGGATTCCAGCAAGAAGCAGAACAGGGAAGTCGCTGCCCTCATGGAGCATTTCGTGCTAGTGGGGGAGAGACCCTGAACCGAGTGACACATATACACTGCATTTCAGGTGGCAATAAGTGCTCCGAGGAAAACTGTCAGGGCAGGAGATGGTGGACAAAGAGTAGTTTGAGCTACTGCAGATGGGGGAGATGTTTTGGGGAGATGCCATCTCAGCAGGGAGCCAAATGAAGCAAGGGAGGCATGAGCTGTGCTAGGCAGACACCTGTGGGGAGAGTCTCCCAGGTGGAAGGAGCCAGTGCAAAAGCCACTGAGATGAAGTGTGACCAGAGCAGGCGCCCATTTCCTAGTGGTGTCAGCTTTGGCCCAGGGGACTTGTCCTGCAGCTGCCTTTTAGACTCTGTTGCATCACTGGGGTGAGAAGCCTGCAAACCACATTTCCTGGTTCTGGAGCTGGAGGATTCTGGGTGGATCTCACCACTGGGAGGCCCTGAGGTGAGCCTGCAGGCAGGAGGACGGGGATGCTTTCTAGTCAGATCCTTAGCGGGGAGGGGGGGTGATGGCTGTATACCCTCAGAGACTGTAGCTCTGGCATTATTAGTGACAAAGCATTGACCAGTTTGGTGACAGCAGCTCCAGTGGCTGTAGTCAGGATTCTAGCAGTGCTCGAGAGGAGGGTGAGCTTAGGGCTCCAAGGTGACCCTACCTGATTTCTCTTTGTCCTCCAACCCCTCTGGTATCTCTGTAACCATTTTCCTGCATTCAGGGACTCTTCATTTGAAATAAATGATTGCCTGATTTCCCCAAATGAATGTTAACCAATGCACTAGCTCTATGACCTCGACTTAACCTCTCTGAGACTTAGTCTCTTCATCTATAAAATAAGAAGTAGGAAATTTGTACCATTTTTTGAGGGGACAGTTAAAAATATTGGGGTGTCCTGATCCCCATCCAAGGGACAGTTAGAGTGCTAACTGGGCTCAAAAGCCCCACAGTTAACCCAAGCTCTGCCACCAGTTGACTGGATCACCGCTCTTTGGCACCCTGTGCCCTTGCCTACTCATGGCCAAGGCAGGCTAGACTGTACTGAAGGCTCTTTCAGTACAAGTCCCAGGCCACTGACAGGCCAGAACCTTCCTCCAGAGACAGTGAGGATCCTTCTTGATTGCAATCAGACAATGTCTCAGGGGATCAGTCACTTTAGGGCATGAAAGATGGGACAGAGCAGTTGAAGGAAAAATAAAAAGCCTGGAGCAGTCAACTAAGTGTCCAGTGCTCAGGGTGGTATCTGCTCTCGTGCACACTGATAGACACAGGTGTCTGTCCTCCTTGCCATAGTCCCTGGGATGGGCCAGATGAGTGGTGCAGAGCAGAGCTCTAGCTTCCTGGGTCCCAGCACCCACGCCTCCCTGAGCCGTGAACTTTACCTTGTAAACAAGGGATAAGGCTAGGAGATCTCAGTGAGTCTCCCTGCTCTCAGAACAGCTTCCGCTGCTGGAGTTCTTCTTGTGTGCTAGTGTGGGAGGTGGAATAACGACCTCCACCCTCTCCACTCTAAAAGGGACTCACTTCTTAATTCTCAGAGCCCGTGAGTATGTTAAATTGCATAATGAATTAGTCTGAATTTGTCACTGTGACAAAATTCCTGACAGAAACAATTTAAGGGAGGAAAAATTTGTTTTCACGCATGGTTTTAGGTTGCAGTCCATCAAGGTGGGAAGGCATGGAGGATCAGTTCTTATCATGGTGGACATGAAGCAGAGTATAGCAGTGACCAGAATGGGCCAGGACCAACATACAGCCACCAAAGACACACTCCCTGTGACCTACTTCCTCAACCAGGCTCTGCCTTCGACAGGTCCACCACCCTCCAAAAGTCTATTCACATTTAAATCCATCCATGGATGAAACCATTCATTAGGTCAAAATTCTCATTATCTAATCCTCTCAGGAAACACCCTCAAAAACACTCCCAGAGGTGTGAGATCACTGGTCTGCCAGTATCTCTTAATCCAATCAAGTTGACAATCAAGATTAACATCGCACATTACAAAGGAATTAAGGCCACAGGTGGAATGGGGGTTGCTAATCAGAGTGGGTCCAGTGCAATCACAAGTGCTCTGATGATGGAACTGGAGTCAGAGAGAGAATCAGACAGACAGCGGCATGAGAAGGACTCGGCCAAACAATGCTGCAGCCTTGCAGAGCTGACTGCATCCAGGCTGGAGCTGAGTGACAAAGCGAAGGGGCCCCTACCTTTCACGGCTCCTGCCTCGTCTTGCTTCTCAAAGAGCAGGTAGTGTGGGCTCTCGGGGAGAAAGGGCAGGCTCACCAGCTGGACGACGGCAGGGAAGATAATCACTCCAAACAGATATGGCCAGGTACTCTCCTGTGGGGAGAAGGAGGTAGCTTTGTCACTCTACCAGGGGCTGGGCCACTGGGCCAAGCAGCTTTGCCTCTGCAGAAGGCCACTCTGCTCAGCATGGTACCAATGACAGAGGTGTGAGAGGGAACAGAGTCAGGGAAGGTGGCAGCCCCACGCACATGGCATCTTCCATGCACAAGTCAATGACTCCTCAAAGGCCTCCTGAGACAATTGGCAAGGGTGGCTTTGAAAAAGAGGCAGCCAAGCCACTCAGAGAGTGCCAGGACTGGCCTGGGGCACCAAGGGGAGCCTCCGGCCTTCCTGGGATCTCCACCTCTCCCCCAGCACAACTGCCTTCCAGGTTGACTCTGAGTATAGGCATCACAGGGGCACAGAGGCCATGCACAACCATCAGACCCTACAAAGTTATGGTGCCACTCTTTCTCTTGTCCAGGGGAGTGTCCAGACCGTCTATAGGTAGGCGAGAAGAACTTTCCTCTTTCCAGCTGGCCCCTACAAGGTGTCCCATTTAAGAGGCATTTAACTGCAAAGCAATGATGTTCACCTACAGTGCAGTTCAAAAGGGTTACGCCTGTCAGGGCCTATTCGCTTTGTTCTCACCCAGCTAATTACAAATAAGCTCCCACTGTCAGGCAAATGCTGGCTGAGGCATCTCTAATGGGGAGGAAGAAAGCCACAGGCACCAAGCCCAGTACTTGGCCTGTTTAATTTCCTAAGAAAGGAAAAGGAGACAGCCAAGGGGAAAAGGAAGCACATTTAGACCTGAAAGGACTTCTGAACCAAGGGTCACCTTTGAGGCCTGGATATGCACATGGAATCCTTGGCCACTTGTGCCAAGTGGTGTCAGCCCACAGCCACCCATATACAGCTATAAAAATGGTGACCATTTACAAAGTGACTAAGTTCAAAAAGGGAAAGAGGATCAGGACCAAGAATCCTCAGTGACCCCCATGGTGTGCCTCGGCTTTGGTCCCAACATTTGCAGAGGACTCAGCATCCATTTCTCATTACAGTGAATGAGGACGGAGACAGCCCTGGACAGCACCATTCCATATGCATCTCTTGGAAGACCGGATGGGAGTGGAAGAGGCTTCTTACACACTGTTATTTCATGCAAAGGGGAATGGGTCTTGCAATAACTTGCTCTTTAATCTGCACGGGTTCATTTTAAATGTGATTTCTACATATTTCTTCCAGGCTATAGGTGACTTCAATCCTTTCCATAAATACTACCCTCCCGGGCTGTGATGAGACAGCAAAATTATTTTAAGTAGAGTTGGCACCATTGATCTTACCCAGAGTCAAGTTCTTATTAAAGAACGTCCCAGAGACTCATGGCTCCCAGACAAATGGAGCAGGGGTTTTGATGCTGTCTGGGCCATTCCGGTCATCAGCAGGATGGGGGCTCCGGAGGCAGCTGCTCTCAGTGACACCAGGTGCAAGAAGGTGATGATGAGGCACAAGGCTCTTGGGAGATGAAGTGGGGATCTCCTTGAACCCCTTCATCCTTAGGCTCTACCTAGGATGGTGGTTAGAGTGTCCTCCATGTGCTGGGTTCCATGACAAGTGCTTCACAAGTGTAACTTGATGTTAAAGTAGCACAGTTGTTTATGTCATTAAAATACAATCTCCATGTTTATCTCCTACATTTCTTTAAAATTTAGCCTGGGGGGGGGAGGTCTGTTCCCCTGCCCCACTACAGAAGTCCAGGTCTTTCTGTTCCTTTCTATAAACAGGGTCCTATCCCAGGACCACAGTTATAACAACCCAAACCAACCTGACTGAATGAATGGAATGACAAATCTTCCATCTCCCCATCCCTCTCCTTCCAAGTCTACGTGGGGCCAGGACCCTACAGTGGAAAGATCTAGAGCAAGAGGTAGAAGGCTGAATTCTCCATTTCTCTCCTCCCTCCCCTAGCTTGCTAGTCAGTGTCTGACTCTGCGGTCAGATCCAGGATGGGTATGGAAGAGTGGTGAGGGGCTGGGCTGGGTCTCTGGGGTGATGAATTCAATGCTGATATTCTCTTGTCATGAGCACTTTCTAGGGGTTCTGGAAACTTCTACCCCTGGAGCCACCCAGCTCCCTGCAGCCTGAGCATTTGCCTCTCTTTCTCTCTCTGCAGCAGTCCAGAGGGATCCAGGGTGAAGGCTACTCTGGATATTTGTGAAAGTTGTACCCAGCATTCAGCTCCCTGCTGAGGGACCCAAACCTTCCCTAAGGCCCACCTGTGCATTCTCCTACAAAATCCGTTTTCAACAAAGAACCCTGCTTAAGTGGGTGTAGCAAGAGCCCTGCACCCTTGTTGTCTGATCACCTTCAGTGTCCTCATCCTCATCTTCCTCCACCCCCTAGGTAATGCACGGTGTTCACTAGATCAATTTAGCTGGAGTCCACCTCACTCCTGATGTTTTCTCTTAGCAGTTTCCATCCACTGACCTGATCTCTTCCCCCACGGCAAGTCACATTGCAGTGGTTCTGGCTTCAATCTTCACAGTCCTCATGAAGGTCTTCCTTACTAGGTTTTACCACCGTTACTGAGGGACTTATTTCTTTACTGCCTTACTCCCTTCCTAGGTGTCTGGTGGGCAGCCCCACTGATAACTCAAGGCTTCCATAATCTCATGCATGCCTAGTCCCTGGCCCCAGCTGGGGCCATCATCTTGGATCCAATAACCACTTCAGACTCCTCAGTGCCCCCTCCTTTAACTCACACCCTTCCTATTACCATGTAATTTTCTACTGACCCTGAGGAAGTCCTGCTGGTTCCATTTCTTACCTTGACCCAGGCAGTGTGGTCAACAGCTCTGTGTTCTCAACCTCTGCTGCTCTCAAGGTCAAACAGGTCACTGCTTAGGTGCACTTTGCTAAGGCAGACCTTATTCCCCTGTGTTTACAGGCATCTCCGGTCTTCTCTTCCACAGAGAATTAGCTCACTGCCACTCTTTTCTAAATTGCTCTCCCTGGAGTTAAAACCCATGATTAATCCCTTTTCATCTTTGTTTTCCAGCAGAATTGTTCCAGTTTCTGAGTCTCATTTTCCAGACCCCATTCACAACGTTCCCTTTGTCTGCCATATCCTTCTTCACTCCTCATTATGGGTCACCCTCAATCAGATCAGTGTCCTCCACACAGAACTCAAGAAAGGAAGACAAAGACAGGTGGTTCATTCTAAGGCTTGCATGGCACAGGTATGCACCATGTGAATTGCACTTCATAGTGACCTTGGTTCTGGGGATACATAAGGTCCCCAGAATGCCTTGGTTTTCAATGGCCAGGGTTAAACCAGATTGCTAATGAACTCTGTGACCTTGGATGTCATCTGGGAAAACGAGCCCAAGGTCATAGAAAAGACATCGACTTTGGAGTAGATTGAAGTTCAGATTCTGGTTCATGTGGTTGGTAGTTATGTGGTCTTGAACAACTTACTTATTCTCTCTCAAATAACGCTTATTCTGCAGGGTTGCTGTGACACACAGAGAGGTGGTGTCCTAGTTTGAGCTTGGCACATGGTTGGGAGCCAGTGTTGCTTTTTTCCCTCCTTATTGTGGTCCCAGCTTAATCTAAGAGCTAGCTTGAGGCCACATCTGCTCCTGACCCTGGGGACTGTGGTGTCTCGGTTGAATGCATGAACGCCAAATGTCAGGCCCAGGTGCACACCTGGGATTGGAGAACAGGCATATCCATCCTCAGCAGCCTTGCCTCTCCTCCCCATGCACTCTTTTTGGGGGGCTTCTGTACAGCTTTCTGATGCTCTGGCCCTGAAGCCCTTTGCCACAAGGTGGCACTCCAGTCAGAGAGGTCTGTCTATCCTTTCCTCTGTGTGCTTCCCATACTTCTACCAGCCCTCATTGCATCTGGCAATGCTGAAATGAGCATCTACTTCAGTTTCTCTGCCAAACAGATGACTCACTTGGTCTACTTGCTGCCACCTACCTATATGTTCTGCCCAGAGTGAGTGCCATGCAAGACTCTGATCTTATCACTGTGAGCACCATCATTGCTACTCACTCCTTTGGGTCTTTGAGCAAGTCATTTCACTCCGGTCTCAGTTTTCAGGGGAAAATGAGGAACTTGGATTAAGTGATTCTGTTGTTCCTTCTAAATAGACCAGACTGTGAATAGGTGCTTTGAGTGACACAGAGAGGGGATTTGGAAAGCCCTAGATTCCCTGCTGGTTTTTTCTTTTAATGAGTGGGGATGGGTAATGATCACATGTTCCAGAGCTGAGCTCTTCAAGGAGTGGTTTTAAAAGTGTACATTAACTAGAACAGACAGAACCTTTATGATTGTGCATGATCCCAGAGGAGCACATGCATGTCTCTGTTGGTCAACAGGAGTCTCTCTCAGAAAAAGGAGTGGGGAGCCAGAGAGCCCAGACCACCTCGGCTACCCCTGCCCTTGTTAAACACACCCAACGCCCATTGCCCAGTTTCACTTTTTTCTATATCAAAATCCAATGGTTCAAGTACCATTAATGACAAGATTTTTCTAGCATCTTGGTCAACCAGATATGTTTGGCTCTATTCCTATCTTCTGTGTTCTATTGCATTGGTCTATTCTCCGTTTTTAACCGCACCACACTACACTGATTACTAGATTTTTGAATCAGATGGCACAAGACCTCCAATCTTGTTCTTCCTTTTTTTCAAAATGCTTAGGCTATTCTAGGACCTTTCATCTTCATATACATTTTAGAACCAATTCATCTATTTTTAAAAAGCCTGGTGGATTTTGGTTGGGATTGCATTGGAATCATGAACAAATTTGAGGAAAATTAACCTTTTAACAATATTAAGTCTTCTACTCCATGAGTATGGTATATCTCTCCATTTCCGTAGGCCTTTTATTTCTTTCAACAGTGTTTTGTAGTTGTTGGGCACAATTTTTATAACTCTATCCCCAAGTATTTAATATTTTATGCTATTGCAGAGGAGCTTTCAATTTTGAATTGCTTGTCACTTGCATCTGGAAATAAAATTGATTTTTTGCATGTTGGCCTT